ACCCACGCCTTGACTCATATGCTACTTTTCATGAATTCGTACTACTTTTTGGTTGTAAAGCGTCACTTGTATGTAGACAGAAGCTGTATTGCCGCAGCGTCTGCAATGGCACCACTACTTCAAATTAAAGTCTTGACGAGTTCGTTTGACACCTCTCAGTGTTAAATGGCAGCCAAAGTCAACAGCGACGTCATCTTTATGTTGAACTTTTAGACGGTTTGCGAGAGGGCAACTCAATTTGCAGCCGACAATTCCCACACCACACGTCTAGTCGTGCAAACACAGGTTCGATGGCTTCTAATTGCTGACAATTATCTCTTTGAAATACTCCACTAGATAGAGCTGTCTCGTATTCGCAACGATCTAATAGACAGCAAAATTGAGGTGCAGAGTGACATGAATGCGATTTGTGATGATCTCGTAAGACTTCAAAGAGTGTGTTTGGCGAGGATTTCACTGACTTCAAACGATTCGAAATTGCAAATTCTTAAAGAAGAGGTTTGTTGGGTGATAAAATGACACGCTCTTGTATGCAACAAGAATGCACAACTGCACAGTGTCATAGGAGACCTCGAACAGCTACGCGGTGAAGACGTTGCCAAATGTGAGTAAGTCTTTTTAGCAGCAACTTTGAATGCCTCTCCACCTTGTCAGAGGGAAGATGGCGGTGATTCAGGAAGAACTACTTTCATTACGGAACTCTGAGAGTGAGAAAATGGAGCTTATCAGTGAAAATAAGGTGAGATTTGGTGAGGTTTAAGGCGAACTTTTAGACTCTTCGGTGTGATCTTGCTGATCAATGTGAAAAGTTCAAATTGCTTGAGGAATCGGTCAGTTTACCCTCTTACATAATGCCTTTTGTCAAGTTGCGAATGAGAGTACAACTGAAAGGCTGGCTTGCTTACTCTAACTGGTCTTTTAGAACCCTAAGTTGTTAATTTGAAAATCTTTTTACGTCGACAAGATGATGACTGATGACAATTTTAACGGGTGCAAAGCCAAAGTTTCTTATGTGGTTTTAGTTGAGTTAAATCTCAAGTAAAGACTAATGCGAGAGGCGATTTGTATTTCCAACATTTGAGACAGCATAAGTCCAATGTTACACTCATTTTGTTTTTGGTGTTAAGACGAGGGCTCTTGAATCCTCACTACAAAAGGAGAAGGATGCGGCGGCGAAGTTGGAACAGGACCTAATTCGAGCTAGGGAAAAGCAGAGTGAAACGACAAATTTATTGACCGAAGTTCAAAAAGTGGAAAAAGTGTCGTGTAAATGGATGACCCAGCTCTTCAAAAGGTGAGTCCACAGAGACACGTAGGAAGAAGTCAGTGTTGGCCATTACGTCCCGACGGTTGAAGCACAGCAGACAAGCATTTGCCACTGACTTTTACAGTGACCATTGAGGGATTCCAGTAAATGAAATTGCATGAAATGGCAGGAGAACATGAGAGAGGATTCGATTGTATTTTTCACTTGAGTAGCATGCACGTGTTCGCACGTAATGGTGACCAAATTCGGCATGCCCCTTCTGGCCCCAGTTGACTACTTCGCCTTTTGGCATTTATGCGCCTCACACAGAACACGGCGGTGATCCTCACCGATAAGAAGCGCACAAGTGAAAAGATGAATTAGCCTACACTCAAGCATTCATGATCACTTTGCAAACAAGAACAATTTCTTTTAAAGAAACGTTTTGTTTTTTGGATAAAAACCTCGTTTTACTGGCAAGAATTGGATTTTAGTGCCCTCTGTCTTTGTATTTAAGTCCCTTTATCAAACTCTCACGAAATCCAACACCTTGGTGCTGCCCAAAGGCTGGAGAATATCTCACGGCTAACTTTATGCAAACTTTTGAAGTGAATGCGGTGCTTAGCAACTGCAACCTAGACCCATGTGCACCTCGTGAAATGTCACGACACTACCCGTGCGCCAACCTGACAGTCATGATCCGAACTTTTCCCTTCTACGTGAAATATCAGCCTTTTTCATGAGTGTTTAAAAGAGTCTAGGTAATGGCGTTAAGCCGTACTACGAAATTTTCATAAAATTTTTTGCACGGGTGCAGATGCACACCCTGGCTGAGGTGGAATGGATGTGGGCACAGGTCAATGGGATGGTGCGAACTGCGGATGACGTTCACTCATTCACATGGTTTTCTCGCAGTACCGTACCCTCGATGATATTCGCAGTCCACAATGTGTCCTGCTCTATATTTAAATCATTTTACTTTCATCAAATGGTATTCATACTGTTTCATTCATTCTTTAGTGTCAAGTCACTGGGACAGGGCTCCAAGGCTTTGCATGCCCATTTAAAAGTCCTTTTTCCCACTGAAGATAGGGATGATAGGGATGCAGCGTCGCATTCAAAAACACTTTCTAGTAAGGAAGTTTCTACGATAGTTGAACTTCTCGATGCTTTGGACTCAGTTCAGGTATGTGCCATGTGTGCTCGACCGTTGAATACTGCGCCTCCAAACAATCCACTTTTCCTTTTCTTTGTGTAAAATAATTATGCATGGGAGTACTTTTTGGTTTAAATGCCTCTCCTGAATTGGCTTTCTTTATTCGACTCTACTTTGCCATTTAGAATGCCGCAAATGCATGTGTGGTCGAAGCCAGGTCCGCAATTCCCGATCTAGAAGCAGTCGAATTGGAGATGACCAAGCTCGGTGCAGAGGCACTTGGAATGGCGAACCTCCCACCCAATCTCAATCATGCACAGTCTGTGGAAGAATACCTTGTGGAGCGAATCTTGGAGGTGAAAAATTCAGAGTGGTCAGCACGTCAGGTTGCAGAGATGCAGAAGGAAGAAATCGCTCGACTTAATGCCCTGAATACCACTGCACATAAGACAGTTAGGCGAAAGAAGCCTTTATTTGGGCATATCTTTTAAAAAAAGTAAATGATTGTGTCTCTTAAGGGTAAATTTTTTACATTTTTTAGAGGAGTGTGGCAATCAACACAGAATACTCCTCCGACATCGACAGCCCA